GGCCAAGGAGAACCCAGACCGACGCTGGGTACTGTCACACACCAATTATTCTCTGCCATGTGAGCTATGGTTATTCTAGAAACGTATGTTGTTCTTAGAGCCCACAGGCGATTGTGCTGTCCTACCAGTCCTTCAGGCCCAACCCAGAAACCCCAGAGTCCTGCAGTCGATATCTATGTCTGCCCAATATGCCCCAGCCAGCCATGCACTTACCCAACCATGCCTCCTGTCATAGGACCCCAAAGAATCCCCATACGACCCCATGGGAACCCATCCCCACCTCAGAATGGGCTCACCCCAAGTCCCAGCTGGTCAGACCACAGCCACAGCCACAGCCATGCCAGTCTACATACTGCAGTTGCTCCAGAAAACAACTCCATGACCAGGACTCTCCCCTACTAGCCAACAGGAGCCAGTGCAGTGCCAGCTCAAGGGGCTCAAAGTCTGTCTCTTCTTTTCTGAATAAAGAAGGGATAATGCAGTGTAAAAGGGTCATCTGTAGAAATTCCACTCCACCTGTGGTGCACCTGGGAGAACAGGAACCCAACCCTGAAGACAGAAGGGAGCATGACCTCGGCTCAGGGCTAAAAACAACAGTTGCTGTGCAGGCCTCTATCTCCACAGAGCACGGGGCCTGCCTGTGCCTGGAACCACAGATCGGGCCAGTCACCAGATTTCAAAACCTACATGAAGGTCGGGCTCCACATTCACCAGCAGCAGTTTTCATAGACTGACACTCTAGAAAGTAAGACTGGGACTCATGTCGTGATAAGGTTGGAGGTTACAGAAATCACAGGTTCTTTATTTGCCTGTCCAGGACCTTGGACGAGAAAATGTTCAGTTGTGCCAGGCTCAGTGGCTCAGCCTGTAATCCTGCGCCTTTGGGAGGCTGAGGTGAGTGGACTGCCTGAGCCTGCAGATTCGAGACCCGCCTGGGCAACTTGGCAAGACCTCATCTCTACAATAAATCAAAAACGAACCAGGTGTGGTAGTACCTGTAGTTCCAGCTACTTGGAAGGCTGAGGCTGAAGGATTGCCAGAGCCCAGCAGGTCGAGGCTGCGGTGGCCGGGAGTGGCCACTCTGGGCAACAGATTGAGACTCCAATTCAAAAAAAAGAAAATGTTCAGTTGTGACTTTTCTGTCTGGTCCCAGCTGAGTTGCTGATCCCCATTCTGTAGTGGGAACTCTATTTGTTGGGGCTATTCCACCTGCATGTCTTCTCTTCAGTGTTGGCAACTTGACCTCGAGACTCTAAATGTGCTCATCCTTCAGTAGAATCAGAAACTTTCATCCAAAATAGGGAACCAGCAAGCAGTGGCCAGTAAACACCGTGGGTTCTGTGTCTGGCCCAGATGCACTCCCTGGTGAACAGAAGCCTTGCCCCTCCCCCCACCTCCTTTGCCAACCCTCAGCCTCAGCCTGGCACCTGTCTGTGACACTGAACCAAAGAGTCCCTTCCCAGAGAAAGGGGAAGCTAAGGTTTCTATAAAGTTTGTAGCTCTCAGACAAAATATTAGGCTGGAAAGGTACTCTGTGAGAATTCTCTTCACATCAAAATGAGAACCACCATTTTAAGAGCCAGATTCAGTGGAAGCGGTGGCACATCTAAATAAAGGGTCCTGTCTCTGCCTCCCAGCAGGTAGTCAGTAGCTTCTCAGCCAAGAGGCAGTGCATGCCCTGGTGTCAGGGCCTGAGGGTCACCACTGGGACCAGTATGCACAGTGTCTATCAGCTGCAAGGCTCAAGGCACATGTCCTCAGTTCTCTGCCCCTGGCGTCATCCTCAATGAAACCTGCATGATCATGGCAGTCACCCACCTGACAGAGTTGCTGAAAAAACAGAATGAGAGGGCATCAGTCTAAAGACACTTTACTGTTTTGTGACAGTTAATATAAACAATAAGAAATATGAAACTTTTTGCTTTCACTCCCTAGTTACAGCATCAACTTCCAAAACGTTGAAGAGCAAAACAAGAAAGCAACAGGAAGACCCTTCCCTAAAGTCATATAAACAACAAACAGAAGCTCATGTGTGCAGAGCAGGAGTGCTGCAGGCCAGGAGGCACACAGGCAGGGCCCAGGAGCTCAGTGAGGGCCCCTAGGCTGGTTTGCAATAGTTTTTCTACTCCTCTCTGTGAGGTGTCCCTCACTGAAGACCACTAGTGACTGAGCACAAGCCAGCAGCCAACACCCCCTCCCCCAGTGAGTGAGCCCCGCTTCAGCAGCCAACCACCTCTCAGCAGCTGAGCCCCACACCAGTTTCACTGAGGATGATGTGAAGGTCAGAGTACTCAGGACATGCACCTAGAGCCTTGTAGCTGACAGGTGCTACACCAGCTGATCTAGCAGCAACCCAGTGGCTAAGTCCCTGCCCAGTGACTGAGCCCCTCAACAGCACCTTCAGAGTGGCCGTTGGGGACAGCAGTCCATGCCTGCTCTCTGCCACCCCAAACTTCCCTGGCCTCAGGTGAGTCATTCTACACAGTACATCAGTCACCACAGCACCCTCTGGCTGCTCTGTCCCCTCCAAAGGGAAACCAGATAGGAAGGACAGAGGTGTTTATGACTTCCGAAGGAAACACTTTATCTCCCTCTGCAAGGGCGGGATCCTCACTCTTGTAGGCTTCACTTTGATGCAAGAACCTAGATGGTGAGATACAGATCCCGTGCTGCACTTCCAGGGAGGCAGACAGGCTGCGGGCCACTCCTGGCCCCACTGAGTAGATGAACACCCACAGGAACAGAAGCTCCAGTCCCAAAACCCTCGGGAGCCCACCCTGGCTTGAACCTCACCATGCATTGCTTGCCCCACAGAGCCGGCTGCGCTTGCAACCCCTGTGCCTTGCTGCTGCTGCTGCTGCTGCTGCTGCTGCTGCTGCTGGCAGAGCATCTAAGGCTCCAGTACCCTGCCCTGCCCAGGCCAGAGGAAAACAATGCGTGTCCGAGGCAGAAGAGTTCTCTCACTATGGGCATCTTATAAAGAACCTAGAGTGTTTGCCTAAAAAGCTGTGGGAGGGAGCTTATAGGACTTGAGCATCGTTTTGAAATCAGTTTTCCTAGTTCATTTTCCTAGTAAGAGCTGTCAGTGCAGTGCTAGTATTAAGACTAGGTGACTCAGTCGTGGGCTCACACCCGATTAGCTCCAATGCTGAGTCAGTCCCCTTCCTCGGAACCCTTTTCTGACTCTTTGTGAACAAGAAATGAAGCGCCTGACCCCCTTCAATGCAAAATAACTTATTTCGTGCAAACAGTGTCAAATCAGTATACAAAAATTAATAGAAGAACTTACTAAATGGGACACATTTATTTATTTTTATTTTTCCCAAGCAAAAACTATCAGATTTGAAAGTCACTGGCACCCAGACACCTTCATGGGGCTTGGCTGGGCACACGTGGAAAACCCACAAAGGCACAGTGGGCAGGAGGTTCTGGGGTTCTGGTGGCCGCACAAAACCTGCTAAGTTTCAGTTCTCTCAAGAAACCAGAGAGGAAAAATGTTTTCCTACTTCAAAGAGCTGTTTTGAAGTATTCACTTATATTTCAAAGGAGCTGAAAATAAAATGTGCTGATAAATAGTGTTACTATTGAATATCCAAGGACTAGTCCACAAAAATTAGAAAATTATGGCTAGATAAAGTCCACCCTTTCAATAAAAACAAATACAATCTAAAGGCTTCCTCTTCCAATAGATCTACTGAACTCCAGAAGAACTCTTAGGGAGGACATTACAGATGGTTAAATTTCCAAAATGTGCCTCTCTGCAGGCCCCAAGAACACTGGGGAACACACACCTGATCATGCTGTCTGTCCACACCACCCAGAACACAGACCACCTTCCCCTGAGAAATTTTCTAACTACAGGTCAACCAAAGCCTCCAAAATGTACCCCTAAACATTAAGAAGAACTCTACCTCTAAGCTAGCTCTTTTTTTTATAGATCCTCTCTTAAAATCACACTACTTGCTACAAGACTTCGAACTCCAATGATACTGCAGCAGCCCTTGGAATGACACCTGAAGGGTTGACCCTGCACCACCCGCAGGCTGCCTCGGGGGCAACTAGAGGTCTGGATGCCAGCTCCCCTCTCTAAGGAGCTGTGCCCATGAGCATCAAGCGGTGCCTGGAGGAGGAGCAGGAGTCCCTGCACAAGCAGTTTCTATCTGAGGAGAACACGGCCATCCACTTATCTCAACTCAGCCTACACAATGACCACCCCTACTACAGCACCCCTAGGAGTTTCCTACGAGCTCTGTCCTCACTCAGGAGCCCTTGCTCTGAGTTGTTTCCCTGACACTACCCTGGGAGCCTCATCCCCGAGGCCCTCATCTGCTCAGGCTGGGGGACACCCCAATCCCCCACTACCCTGCAACCCCAGCCAGGAATATAATGGTGCTCTGAATGCTGGTAGGCAGTGCTCTTCCCCATCTTCCTTCTTCCTGTACAACAGAAGAGATCAGCCACCTCCACAAAGGGACATAGTACTTTTCCTTCTCCAGACCAGACATCTTTCCCGAACAGAGGACATAGCTCAGTGGAGTCCTGGGATGGAAGGGGCAGGAGGTTGGAGAGGGAGACATCCTCCCTCCTGCAAGAGAACTGAGTAAAGAATGCTGAACAAAAAGGAAAAAAAATTGGCTGGGTGCGGTGGCTCAAGCCTATAATCCCAGCACTTTGGGAGGCCGAGGCGAGAGACCAGCCTGGGCAACATGGTGAGACCCTGTGTCTACAATCAATCAAAAAATTAGATGGGTGTGGTAGCACGTGCCTGTAGTTCTAGCTACTTGGAAGGCTGAGGTGGAAGGATCGCCTGAGCCCAGCAGGTCGATGCTGGGATGGCCGTGAGCATGCCACTGCACTCCAGCCTGGGTGACGGAGTGGGACACCAACTCAAAAAAAATTATACCACTTGCTCACAAATATCTATTTTGCACACTTCTTACAGAAGAGGCACCACACAGTGCCATCAGGAGACAATGAGGAGGAACATCTGACACATTTACCTGGAAATTGCAGTCACAAAGGGTTTCAGCTCCTGCGGCTCGTAGGCACGTGCAAAGGCCCAGCACACGTAGCAGGCAGCATCCCTGACGTTGGCACCCACACTGCAGGCACCGCGCTTCTCGTCGTAGGTCAGCGCCTTCAGGATCACGGCAACAACTGGGCAGGAGACAAAGATTGTGAAGTGCATGCCACATGGGCAGTATGCACGGTTTCACACAGACAGGGTGAAGCCACACAAGGCACAACAGCCACTCAGGGCCTATAAAAGCCTGGTCAGAAAATAAACATCTGAAAGGAAAACAGATGCCCACCAACTCAAATCAGGTAAAAAGGTTTTCTAAAAGTTCCCCAAAGGTACTTGAAGAACTGAAAGTGCCTTCAGAACAGCATAAAAACGCCTTAAGGAAGTCAAAGAAAAGCAGGATCCTGCCAGGTAGGAGGAAAAGGAGCCACATGTTTAACAGGGAGGCAAGGATACAAATGTCACTGGGGCACTAAGAGACAGAGCAGCCCAGCATCTCAGAGGGGGCACTTTAGCAAGTCTTAGGGGAGAACTAGGATAATAAGCTAAATCTAGCCATGGCTACTTCAGTATTAACTTTAGGAATAATTATATGTTTTATTATCTAAAATATCTGTAAATAGTTAAAGTAATTTGAAGTACATAATGGATTATCCCTCTATTCCATTTGAAAATGCGTAACAGTAATTTGACATTACACATGCGATTTTTTTTTCCTTTTTTTTTTGAGTTAGTGTCTTACTGTGTCACCCAGTCTGGAGTGCAATGGTACAATCATGGTTAACTGCAGCATTGAGCTCCTGGACCCAGACCTTCAAACGCTCCACCTCAGCCTCCAAGTAGTTGGGACTATAGACACATGCCACACACTTGGCTGATTTTTTGTAGCAATGAACTCGCACTATGTTGTCTGGGCTAGTCCTGAACTCCCCGGCTCAAGCAATCTTCCCACCTCAGCCTCCCAAAGTACTGGGATTACAGGCATGAGCCACTACACCTGGCTACACATGTGATTTTTGATATTCAGATATGAAGAGTTTTAGCACACGTGGTAAGGATATTAGAATGTTTAAATGAGCTAGAAATTTTACTGTATTAATCTGTTCAATTTATTAGGTTCATGTATTTCAAGTATTTTGTAAGGGTTTACTAAGGAGAGACATGTATGTTCCTTAAAGACAAAATGAATTATATAATATTTATATCAAGAATTTAAAATATTTCAGGGAATTTCATTAGTTTTACAGAGGAACCAAACATTAATTTTTAAAAAGTCTCTTAAAAGTGATTAGAAAAAAGTCTAAGGAAAAAATTTTGCAATTCAAAGATGATATATTTTTAAAAGTCACACAAAATGGAATTTTCTGACAGACCATGCTGAAAGTTTCCATTTATTGACCCAAAATAAATGACTATGCTAAAGCACACAAATGAGCTCACATCACTATTTTTAAAAATTAAAAATTCACACTACTTTAAAAATTGAAATGTGTGAATATCTGATTCTGGAGCAAATGCTTTCCCACTCATGCACAGCAGCCATAGTGGCAGAGCTATTTCTGCAGGTCAACATTCGACCCAGTGATGCCACATGATGCAGTGGAAGGGACCACAGAGATGCTCACATTCCCCAGACAATCCACCCAGAGCACCGAGAGTCAGGCTATGAGGGTATGTCCTTCTATTAGCACACACTCCTGTAGCATTCCTGGCTACAGGTTCCATGACATAGCAAGAGATTTCCAGAGTAAAACTGAAACACAGCAGCCACCCTCCTTGGAACAGGGTCCTGCTACGGATAACTATTGGGGAATATGAGCAGGATGACGGCATGTGGAGGTCAACAAGGACAAGATGAAGATGAGGAGATCAACCACTAAACAAAGAAAGTACAGAGTGCAGCTATAAAGCCAGCCAGTGATGACACATGGAGTCATGAAGAGCACCCAATCATCACAGGCAAGACAAAGACAAACCACTCCTCAGCAGGCGGGCTGTCTCCTGAGTACACACACCAGGGTCTCATCTGGGCTCTGCACACTGTGCCATTCATGCACACCCGCTCTGCACACTCACCAGCCTCGTCAACACCAACACTACACATAGTCTGAGAAGAGACACTGCAGGTCATGGATACAGGAGGAGCCAATTACTCATGCATGCAACTGTCACCACACAAATTATCGTCTAGAAAAATGCACTTAGAAATGATCTAAGATTAAAAAAAAGAAAATCAAAAGAAACGATTGTAGGACTATGAATATTATGTACAAATTTTTCTGTCTTTTTGCATCCAAGTATTTCTCACTCTTTATAAACAGCAACAAAAATAGATATGATTCTGGACATATGGTAATTATTTTTAATAATATTACAAACATTAATTTATAAATCTACTTACAACTACAGAAAATAAACTTTCTCCAAAATAAAAAGCTCAAGGACATCATGCTATTACATCCACTTCCCCTGGGAGGAGCTTAAGAAACAACTTCTTTGCAGGGTCAGCAGAATGTGGGGCCTGCACACTGAGGCCTGCTGGAGCAACAGGGCATGGGACCCACAGCTGACACCAAGGGCACCTGAGCCTGGTCCCAGCTTCACTCCTCACTCTAAGGACTCCCAGTAGGTGCCCATCACTCTGTAAGCCTCATTTTTCCAGGACACCCTCCCGGGATGTGCCACAGACTCCTCAATCCCACAGCGCCCACTCAGAGCCAGTTCTCATGTAGGCGCTCCTGCCACTGGCTGCCCGTCACATCACTCCTCTCACCCTGCCCTCCCCCCATCATAGTCAGACCAACTGCTCTCGCCTCCAGGACTGCCCCACAACACACTCCAGAAGGCCCTGCTCAGCTACAACAGGCAGGGATTGTCCCACAATCTCCCACTGGAGAGTCCCAGATGCCTACTATACAAGCTCCCCACTGGCTCTGCCTCGGCATCTCTCTGCCATGACTCCCACCTACAAAGCACCCCATGGAGCCTTCTCCATCTGGGGGACCCTGTGCTCTCTAAGGCCCTCCCCACACAGGGTCAGAGCTGGCAGCACCAGGAAAACATCCCTAAGCAGGAGGCAGTGGCACCAACAGGCATCTGCCTCTATCGATTAGCAAGCCAGAAACTATGCTCAATGATTTGAAGGAACATCTATCACTCCTTGTGAAAGTCTGACATTCGCCTTCTAAAAATGAACCGTGTGGTTAGGCTTGTGGAAAAGTAGAAGATGTAAACCAAACATTAGGGCACTATCACAGATGTAGATAAAGTCACTAAATCTAATAAGTGAGTTTAAAATTACTGTCTCAACTTGAACTAAACCAAATTTGTAACACTTAAAAGGTCCTCAATTGTTTTACCTGGAATTACTCCTAGCTTTCTAGTATTGTTCATATTCACTTTCTGTGCTAATAGAACAGCCCATTCATGGACCAAAACATGTCAAAACTAATTGGCTGTGGCACCTTTAGGAGGAAAGCATCGTATAAATAAATGCAGTATCCCTGCCTGACCAGATTCCCTAAGACTGTCACTTTAACCCCCCTGCCCAGACAGTTCTGGGCAAGACCATTCAGCAATTCTATAGCCTCAGGGAAATCTGGGTACTAACTGCTGAGTCCCAATTTATCGGTCCACTGGACAAAATCAATTTCTCAACAGACAACCATGAGTGGCAGCAGTCAGCACTCTCAGTGTCAACTCCAGGCTCTCCTGCACTTGGACACTGCTCGGCACTCTCCAGGAGAAGCCACTGTAGTAGGACAAAGACCTCTCACCCAGCCACTGAGCCACTGGGGGAGCCGCTCCCATCACACCCTAGAGCCTGACCCTGGCAAAGAAGTCAAAGCTTCTGGTCACAAGTCAAAGGGAGACAATGGTTCCCTAGAGCACTATTATAGGTGGCAGGTAGGGCAAATCAGCCACAAAGAGACAGACATGCAGACACCATGTCCACTAACGGGCATCTGGCTCAACACATGCACAGGCTCTCAGTTTGATCAGCATGTTATTTTTGGGAAATTCAACAGCCCAAAAGGTCCAACAAGAGGGTCACCTAGCTCCCTTCTGTCTCAAAGAAAAGAGGCCAGTTCTAGAGAGGGCTGCAGGCAACCCATATGCACCTGGACTGTCATCCCTGGCTGTTTCCTCAGGCAGCTGGGTCTTCTGATGTCATAGGTGTTGGGCTTCTCTCTATGGCCTATGTCCTTCCAGCTGAGGCTGAGTAGCAGAGACCAAAGCCTGCCTGGGCCTCTGGGGCCTCACCACCAATGTGGCAGTGTTGCAGTTGCCCAGGAGAGTCCTGATCAGCCTCATTCCACATAAGTCCACGGTCAGAGAGTCTTCAAGGTCTCCATCCTGTCATTCTCCTGCTCAGAAACAGATGCCAGTGGCCCACACACAAGGGCAAGTGAAGCAGTGGCCACCAGCAAACCACAAAGTCTCACTGCCAAAAGAGGCTAAGAGACCAAGGATGCTCTCCTCACAGATTGCTAGAAAGAAATCTGATTTGCAGAAAGTAAAATAATTCAGAAGGAGAGAGAGTAAGATTTCTTTAACAAGAGAAATGAAAAATGAGCCTATTGGCTCTGATTCATTTCAAAGCAGTAAGAACTGCAACAGGGATAGAAGGCTGGACCCAAGCCTGCCTCTGCCACTCCTGAGCAGGGCCCATGGCTGCTGCCAGACTCAGGCTTTCTCCAGCCTCTCCCCTGGAGAAGGGAGGTCCTGGGCTTCCAGCTCTAACATCCAGGGACCCAGAAGACAAGAGACAGGACAGCCTTGGTAGCTAGGCATTTAGGCAATCACAAAGCTGGTGGGGGAGGGAATATTTGGAATTGAAACTCTTCTTTGACCTAAAATTTTATAAAAAGTTGTTATCAGAGAAAAATATTTGAAAACTAACAACACGTTCCAGATTCAACAGGTTTAAAATAAGGAAACTATTCAATAGCTTTGAACAAAAACCTTTCTTATGGTTCCAATTACACACTGCAAATGCATGTCAAATATATAACATACCCCAGAGGGCTTCCTTTTGGCAACCCAGAGTCCTGCAATGTAATTTAAATACCCTTCTCTCTAGACAGCTGTCAGTTGTTTAACGCCAATTGCCTAAGGAAAAAGTGGCTTCCAG